TAGACATTTAAGATTAAAAAGAATCTTTTTGTAGAAACTACCCGGTAAAATGTCAATATAAATCAATTAAAATCAGGTTGAAGATCAATTGCTTTATACCAATCCACATTTTCCCCCTTTTTTCATGAATAAAATAAAAAGGGTTTTCAGTACAGATTATCTCTTTGTAAAAATGTAAATACGAAGGAGACATACATATCTTAGTCATAAATCATCTTTTTGCTTAAGGGACCTCGGTGGCCGAGTGGTCTAAGTAGTTACTACTGTAATCACTAGCCAGTCAACACTGAGGTTGTGAGTTCGAACCTCGCTCGTGCGGGTGCACTCGACTCCAATCTTAATTGACTAGGATTGTCAGTTTTCCTATCGAAGGTCGGTGGTTTTCTCTGGGTACTCCGGCTTCCTCCACCAAAAAAAACTGGCCGCCACGAAATAGCCCAAAAGCGGTGCTTAAAAGTGGCGTTAAACACCAAAAATCAAATCAAAATCAAATCTTTTTGCTTAAAAAATTCTTTTCTAAATACCATAAACTTTAAACTACAAATTGTAAGTAAACACATATTTTGAAACCAAGCAAGCAAAATATTCATTCATAAATGCATCTGATATAACAATAAATTGCTTCGCTGAGCGCAGCTGTATATGACCGCAGAGGTCCAACCCTGAACAGTTGGGGCAAAAATGGACACAATATTCGTGCTTGATACAGGTCTGAATTTGGATTGTAATTAAATATTTTACCAATATTCGATCGCAAAATTTTTTGCGGTCGTATAAAAAGGTATTACTGTGATTAGACAGAATGGCATCTTAATTTTAATATCAGGTCTTGGGTCTCTGAGTTTTGATATTGGCTATTGTGTGAAAAGTTGGAACAATCTAATGAGAAATACCAAATTTACTTTTCTTAGACGCTCTGATATTAATGTGCAATGTTAAATGTGTAAAACATAATACTGTAAATTCAGAAATAAGTGTGAGGTTTTTAGTAATGCGAATAATGTGACAATTTCTGAATTTACAGTATTCTCTTCTCTATTTTAACATATTCTTTAGCAATTTTTGTAGATACTTGATTATGAAATATTAAAAACTGTAAAAACTTGAATATTAAAAACTCATAAAAAACAACTCCAAGATGCATTCTCATTATCACTATGCATCTATTATACATATACTTCAAATACTAATCAGCAGTAGTTTTAAAAAATAAAAAAATTACCTTTTGCATAGTTAAAATTCATCAATTCAATGACTTGAAATAATATATTAAAAGTGTTATGATCTGGGTTCACATTCTCAACATAGCTGTATTTACCCTGACTCCATGAGTCTTGGGGCCAATACAGGTTACCTCAAATCTATACTAGTGCCAATACAAGCACAGCCAGCAAATAACACAATAATCTTTTTAAACAAAGACAATTAAAGGTATACCTATTCATTCCGTAATATAAACCCTTTCATTAGGTATTGTAAGATCAAAATTGCTCAAAATACACTCAACAATAAAATGCATCGCTGGGCGCAGCTTGATACGACCGCAGAGGTCAAACCCTGAACAGTTGGGGCAAGTATGGACACAACATTCAAGCTTGATACAGCTCTGAATTTGGATTGTGATTAAATATTTGACACAGCATAGGTTTCTGACACAGAATGAATGTGGTCTAAGAACTTAAAAAATTTTAATTTACCTATTATGGTCCAATATCCAAAATCTAAATACATACACGGTTAGATTCAGCATATCAAAGAACCCTAAGAATTCAATTTTTGTTAAAATCAAACTAAGTTTAATTTTGGACCATTTGGACCTTAATGTAGACCAATTTGAAAACAGGACCAAAAATTAAGTATCTAAATACACGGTTGGATTCAGCATATCAAAGAACCCCAATATTTCAATTTTTGATGAAATCAAACCATATCATTATTATTTGCTTTTATATATAAATCAAAAATAACCAACTTAAAATGGAAAATTTTAAAGAAAAAAAGGAAACCCCCCCCAATTTTTTGAACCCCCTTATGATTCATCACCCCCAAACTCAATCCCAGCCTTCCCTTTGTGGTACGGTACCTTACAGTACAATTTCAGAGAGATCCATACACTTGAACACAAGTAATTGTCTGGAAACTAAAAATGCTTGTTTTTTGGCCCCAAATTCCTAAACGTTTAGGGCAATTACCCCCAAACTCAAACCCAGCTTTCCCTTTCTGATATGGAACCTTGTAGTACAATTTCATAAAGATCCATACACTTACACACAAGTTATTGTCCTGAAACTAGAAAAATGCTTGTTTTTTTGCCCCTTTTTTGCCCCTAATTCCTAAAATTTTAAAGCAATTACCCCTAAAATCAATCCCAGCCTTCCCTTTGTGGTATGGTACCTTGCAGTACAATTTCAGAGAGATCCATACACTTGAACACAAGTTATTGTCTGGAAACTAGAAAATGCTTATTTTTGGCCCCTTATTCCTAAACGTTTTGGGCAATTACCCCCAAACTCAATTCCAGCTTTACCTTTGTGATATGGAACATTGTAGTACAATTTCAGAAAGATCTATACACTTGCACACAATTTATTGTCATGAAACTAGAAAAATACTTGTTTTTTGCCCCTTTTTTGGCCCCTAATTCCTAAAATTTTGAGGCAATTACCCCCAAAACCAATCCCAGCATTCCCTTTAATTTGTGATATGGAACCTTGTGGTACAATGTCAGAGAGATCCATACACTAACAAACAAGTTATTGTCTGGAAGTTACAAAAATTCTTATTTTTGGTCCCTTATTACTTAACTGTTGGTACCATAACCCCCAAAATCAATCCCAACCTTCCTTTTGTAGTATTGAACCTTATGGTAAAATTCCATAGAGATCCATTCACTTAAACTAAAGTTATTGTGCGAAAACCAATGTGTCTTGGGACGATGACGCCAACGTCATACCAATATATGACCACAAAACTTTTTTGCGGTCATATAAAAAGGCTAGAAAATCAAAGAAATATATTCAATGGAACTTTGCATAAATAATCTGGAAAATTTAATAGCTTAAATTAACATGCCACAGCATAATGCCTGCTTCCATCATACAAATGGATTCAGAAACAAATGCCAGATCTTAAAAAGTTAATTTCCAACCAAGGGTCCGGAAACGGTCATATTTGCCAGTCTTGTCCTAAACAAGTAATTGGGATTTAGGACAAATTTTATTTTTTAACAGAAATAATTTCGGTCATTTCGTTGAGATCGAGTTTCTAAATGGCCATTTTGAACTTGTTTTTGTTTTGTTAACCCTTTCCTGTAATAAAACTGCCACTCCAGTACATATATTGGCTAATGATCGGTAATCTCTTTACCTGTGTTTTTAATTCACACCTGGCTATTGATCACAAGCTCAGAACTAATATAATAAAGAAATTAAAATTCCATAACAACTGTCTTCATGGTTTAATTACTTTTCAGCTAAGAAAATTGTCAATTCTGATTTAAAATTAAATTAAAACTTGATTTAATTTAGGTAGAAAAAAGTATTTTTTCACTACTAACACACATGCTTTGTTTACTATGTAATATGCATGCTTGAAATTCTCTTCCGCAGATTGGACACTAAATCGTAAATTCAAAATGATTTCATTCTAAATAAAGCAAGTGCAACTATTATCATTAATATTCAAACACTATCAAAGGTAAAAAATTAAAAAGCCGATGATTTCCTGTGAATTTGATAAACAAAACTAATCCCGGAAATGAGTTTGGAATTGCTCGTTTTAGTATTGTCGCAAAACATCCGGTTTTAATTTTGTCTTCAAAATCGGAAAAAAAAAAACGTTAGCGATGTCTGAGAAAGTTATCGTTTTGAGTCATTTTTAAACTGTTGCCTTCCCTTAATTGCTCTTGAACGAAAATGGCAGGAAAATTCATGAAGTAAATGCGATGCAACATTTAAACAAGTTCGTTGATGCTACGAGTATGAGCATACTCAGTAATGTGATTTTGACAATGTTTTTTTGAAAAAGGGCACCAACTTTTAAGTTATCTCAAAATGACCGAAATTATCTGAAAAAATTTCCGGATCCTTGTTTCCAACTATACATGTCATAAAAAATAACACCAAAACATCTTTATACTACAAAAAGAATAAGATCACTATACATAAATGTTTATTGTTATAAATGGTAAACACTATTGATTTCTGCATAAACTTCTGCTGTGCCATTTTGGCTACTTTGGAATACGTTTTGACAAGTTTAATTCAGACCATGTCTATCTGCCTTCAGATTCTTTTTATATTACAAATATAGTAAAAGAGTATCATGAAAATAATTTTCCGTAGATATCAAGACTAAAATTATTTTCATGATCAATTGCCAATTACTGTACACATACTTAAGAGTAAAACATAAATAAATTAAAATGTTAAAATAAATCTCTATAACAGACTTAGTCGTGTCAGTTCAATGTACTTTCATTTTAAACATTATATAATTACGATCCTATACAGTATTGGTGGGTATTTGTTTTTTATCTGAAATACTGTGGGTTTTTTTTAAGTACAAAAAGGTCGAATGGCATTCATATATGATATAAAATCATGAATATACAACAAAATGAGCCAAGGGTCACTCATTTGAGAAGCAATGCTTTCTATAAGTCTAGATATTTTAATATGACTTTTATTACAATCATCCTTAAACAGCAGGGATATACAGTTTTCAATTACATACAAATTTGGTGGTTGTCAGTTTTGCTAAAAGGTATATGGTAATGTATGAGTTTTTTAAGATAATGTCTCAAATTTTTACCTTTAAGAGGTTGTACTGTCCTTGTAAATCACATTTTTGTGACAAGACTCGACTTAATCTCGACAGTGAATAAAAGTCATGCAACTGAAATTTCATTATTTTACTTTTAGAATATAGATTTAATATGAGTGAATTAATAAATTATTTTCACATTAATTAAAGTGACCCTCCTCCTCTTTTCATTTATCTAAGATATATGAAAGCTTAAACCACTAATTCAAAAACTCAACATAAATTCAGCTATTAACTACACAATTTTGCATCCACAAATAAAAAACAGCACATTGTGTGGCAGCGTATTTTCTTTAACATGACAACGTTATAAATGAAATTCTGCTTATAAATTAACACACACACAAAAACTATAACAATTAATTTGATTTACTCCATTCAATGGGATAGAATTAAATACTGTCAATATTTTCAATAGTAAACAAATGTAAATAGATATATTATAACAATTACATTAAATGTATGTTTCATTAGAATCTGTAATTTTGATTGGTAGACAACAATCAAGAAGCACTCCAATATCATATTTTATTTCCATATAAAATACACTAGCTATGACTGCATGTGCTATCCGTGACAATGTTAAAATAATGCATTAAAAAAACAAACGAAAAGTTTGATATAACTCTTAATTTCATGGTTGTAGCATAAAAATGTATTTATAAGAATTGCATGCTTCTTTTTACAATCTTATAGGGTTGTAAAAGTGATGATCATGAACACATTTTTAATATGAAGCTATTCCGTGGAAAATGTGCTTTTGTTAATGCATTTACACCCCTATAAAATTATTAAAAGTAGCATGCAATTCCTAATTGAAGCTTTATATATTTATTGCTTTGAGAATATGAAAAAATAGTGATTTTATATACACTTGCATAGTATAACAGAAACTTTGATTCATAATTAAAATCATTATCAATACAAATTAAATCAAAATAAAACTGAAATGATACAACACATTTCAAAGTATGTTTACATGAACTTTAAAAAAATTGTATCTCAAGTGATTGCTAAAACCCATTGTTTGATACAGGTTGTTTAACCCTATATTAAAAAATAACTGGAACAAGCATTTAATGTAACTTGACTTTGTTAGTCACAGTTAGGAAATATACAAGATTGCATAATTAATTTCTACATGAAGACAATAGTAAAAACACATGAAAATCCATGCAGAATACTTACATTTTCACCATGCCCTCTAATAATTTTTTAATTTCTTCATTTTATATTTTTAAAAAACCCAAAGTTGTAACTTTCTCAGGCAAAACCACCCTAGGTACAGTTTTGCCTTTCATTTTTACATCACCTGAGGTATTTCAGCCACAAATCCATTTGTAAATACATCTTTGGCTTCAAAACTTTTGACTTTACTTGCCCTGTTGAGAATAAATCAGGAAAGGTGCTTTATTAACGCTGTCATGATGTTCTTCCTTTTAAATAATTTCTCTCTCACTGGAATTAATAGTTTTTATCTTAGTTGTTGAATATCTAGATAAACTGACAAAATCAAAAACTTTAAAAAAAACAATGCCACTAACAGCAATCCTATGTTAAAACTTTCAATATTATGTCAAGGCCAGAAAAAATCACAATATCTGAACTATTTAAGGAGCAACTGTGCTCTATTTTTATACTTTCTGGTGTCATTGTTGATTTTACTGTTGCAAAATGCGCTTTCTGAAAACAGAAATTACAGACTATAAATCTAAGATTGATGTCAGCAAGTACTAAAATACATAATTGTTATTCCTATAAATGCAATTGCTAAATCATGCCTGTTAAATGAAATTTTTGATAAATGGAAACCCTATCTATATTTGTGCATAGTATTCCAACAGGTATATCATAGATTCTACATCCTCAAAATATGAAGTCATCCAATTAAAATTGTTGATATCAGACAATTACTTCAAAGTAAGACAGTAAAAAAAAAAATGACAAAAATATAGAGTTACCTCCCATTAAATTATCTTTGCAGAAAGTATTCTGCATTATACAATATCATATTTCATATGAACATTTTTTAAACTAAAATTACAAAATTAAAATAACATTTTTAATGTCTTAATTTACAACAAACAGCATGTTTTTTTTTATATTACTTAAAAATAAATCCATAAAACACAGCCATTCAAAAACAAAATGCACGTTTACCTAGTTTGCATGTATTGGTGTTATAAAGACATATTGTCAAACAAGCAGTAATACACTGGAAAACACATAACTCCATTTTGTTCATTCAAAGAATGAGCAGCATATTCAACAAGTAGACTTATCACAATACACATTGAAAGACTCTTAACAAAACATTCCCTGATAGCTTACTATTTTACAGAATTTTGAAGTAATACACTTTATATAATTAACATTTTATTTATAAATTAAATTATTGACTATATACAATCACTGGTATGGTGCTGATATCTTTGCTTCTCATCACCAATTCCATCAGTTGTTAGGTGATGTAATCGAGACACCACCATTGCTGGGAACAGTTGATGAGTTGGACGATGATTCACAATGGTCATCATTTCGTGTAGACTTATACAGAGGAAGCCCAGAACTTGTAGCAAATGCTGCAGTTTTTTCACACACCTTCGGTAGATCTGATATGAGGTATATCTGCAAAGAAAAGAGTATAAAAGCTGAAATGTCTTGCATTCTTTTAAATTAATTATAACTGAATACCGGTACTGTAAATTCAGAAATTATTGCAAGGTTTTTTATAATTGGGAATAATACCACTGGGTGAGTATCACAATAATAAGAACTCACATTCAGAAATCTGGCACATATATTTGTATCCAGCTTTTCCTGTAATCACAATAATTATTCCCAAATTTTGGTCTGTCACGTTGATCTGCGATAATAAATGCACACAATTATTTCTGAACTTACAGTAGTACATAAACAGTCTTTTTGATAATGGTTCTAATGCTTATATCAAGAAACCATAACATTAACCAACTAACCATGAAAATTAGGTCAAGGTAGGTTGACTCCTGTCAGATATACATACACCTTAGCTGATGATGGTTATTCCAGAAACATTTTTGTTAGCCATGTGCTAGAGTAGAATGTTACCCTTGTTAACCAATAAAAAGCTGGCATTTTAACATGCAGTAATACTGTATAATAACATATATTAACCTATTCTGAACATTCAGGTTTCACAAATTTAAAATTTCACTTCATAAACGAATGAAAGGTTCATACAAATGGATAGAGAGATAAACCATAATACAATCAACTTCATTAGGTAGTGGATGTGAACTCTAAATTATAAATGTAGAAATATAAAATATCAATACAATAATTAAACATATGATTGCTATTAATACACCAGTTAAAATTTTGTATACAATAATACATTGGATTTTTTATACAAACTCTGAAATTTTGAGGACAAGCATGTAATTAGTATATTTGATTAAATGTTATTTATCCAGCAGACAAATCATATCATAGTGACCTCTAACATACTGAATATACATAGAATGAGAGGTTAAGTATAAATCAATGAGACAGCAACCCAACAATTATAAAAAAAAAAAAACATAAACCATTAACAGACAGTCTTGAACAATAGACAGAAGTCCATACAAGATGTCAAGCTCTTTAACAATCGTTCACAGTTATTTATGCAACTATAAATTTAAATATCTACAGACATATTAAGATTATCTAGATTTATAAAGACATGCCACGGCCAAACACATAACATTTCAGTCTTGTACAAGAGATATTGGATTATAAATGCAAAGAAGTAGATCAAACCACAGTAATTTCAGAAAAAATAAATGCAGCAATGTATGTTGCAAACATTTTATTTCAAACTCACATTTATTTTCTATTCATCATTAGTCATGCATCTTTTACTCAAATGACATTTTTGCATTTAAATCTACTATTACACACATTCTAAATCTATGAATTAACAACAGGAGATTGTAGGTGATAATATGATTTATAAACAAGCATTCTGTGAGTATTGTCTGGCAATTCATAGTCCCCTACCGGTTAAAAATTCATTGTACTTGAACAAAATGCTAACTTGATCTATAACTTGTCATGGTGTAAACTTTATAACAAATATCAAATCAATATCTTCAAGCATGACCAAAAAAAATGTGGAAAATTGATTATTTGAGTGAATTTTCTAAGTCCAAGTACCATAACTCTGCACAAAATCATCAGACCGGAACAAAATTCGAACTTGGTCTGTAATTTGTCATGATAAAACTATATACCAATTATCAAATCAATATCTTCAAGCATGACGACAAAAAATGAGGAAAACTGATTATTTGAGTTAATTTTCTAAGTCCAAGGACCATAACTCTGCACAAAATCATTAGACCGGACAAAAATTGGAACTTGATCTGTAACTTGTCATGATAAAACTATAAATCAATCATCAAATCAATATCTTGAAGTATGACAAAAAAAAAGTGCGAAAAACTGATTATTTGAGTGAATTTTCTAAGTTCAAGGACCATAACTCTGCACAAAATCATCAGACCAGAACAAAATTCACACTTAAACTGTAACTTGTCATGATAAAACTATGTACCACTTATCAAATCAATATCTTCAAGAATGACAACAAAAAGTGCGGAAAACTGATTTTTTTAGTGAATTTTCTAAGTCAAAGGACCATAACTCTGCACAAAATCATCAGACCGGAACAAAATTTGAACTTGATCTGTAACTTGTCATGATTAAACAATACACCAAATATCAAATCAATATCTCCAAGCATGAAGAAAAAAAATGTGGAAAACTGATTTGCCAGACAGACAGACAGACAGACGGAGTGCAAACCTAAAGTCCCCTTCGACTTCGTCGGTAGGGGACTAAAAACTGTGAATTCATTTATTTTCATGGGTACAAATTTTCTTGGATTGAGGAACACTAGCATTTTCGTGGACATTTGATTCCTTTGTTTTGCCAAAGTCTGCATACATGTATATTCCTGCAGAAAATTTGTGTTTTGTTGACTTTGAAATTTGAGGCTACCCTGTACTGATGAAATCCGCGAAAAATTAATAATCAACGAATAATTATGAATCAACAGAAGGTGATGAGACATTTCAAACAGTTTAATTAATAATATATTCATAAAATTTTCAAAGTGTTAATAAATAATTTAAGTTTAAAAAAAAATTGGTTTCATAAATTTGCATATAAGCAGATTCTTAAAATAGATTAATAAATACAATTATGTTCTTATTATTTCAAAAGTTGATATATTGTTGAACTTATTAAGGGTTATCACTATGGTAGATGCAATAGGTAACATAGTTCATAATCCTTATGCACAATTACAAAATCCATTTTATTACAATAGCAATGGGAAAGGCAGACAAAAATTTGCAGTAAACGATAGCCAAAACCACAATTGTTTTTAATAGCAATAAGGAAAACAGATCCTATAGGATCAGCTGTACCGATAGCCAGTTATAAGGTGAGAACCAAGTGCATAGAAATTGTAGGACACACTGAACTAACAGATGTTGACCAAAATTTGTAAAAGGAAAAGGATTGTCTAGTCAATTAAAAAGCATGTTGAATGAAAAATATGCCCCCCCCCCTCCCAGCCGAATATAATCTATTTGATATACAATACATATGACTAGATCACTCACTTGTTAACAATTTATGTAGAATAACTAAAGCTGACAATATTAGTATCAAAGCAGTTGGGGAATAAGCTACAAGTGATAAACTACTTCCTGGTTAGTTCAATGTGCATCATTTTAATTCAGGTGGATTATGAAAGGCTGTTCATAATATTTATAAAGTATTACCAAACAATTTCATAGGAATATGAATCAGATCTTTTTCTGTTATTTGTTCTCATTTTCCACTTCCATATAGGAAATGATATTAGCTGAAAACCAAATTATGAAATGAGAGCAGCTTTCAATAACAAAATTTATTGTGTATGCTGGAAGAAATGAAGAAGTCTCTAATACGGTTATAATATACTTTTTTGCAAATGTTATAGTCATGTGAAATTGTACAAGCAATTATATTTTTAGCAGTAGGAAAACGATAAATAATGTAAAATTTATGTTAAAAAAACTAAAATATATTGATTAGCATATTTTGACTTTAAAATTCAATTAATCTTCATTTTAAATTGAACTTTGGTCAGTTTTTTTAATACTGCAGATAAAAAAGATGATACAAATCTGTGCAAGAAAAAAAAATCTACTAAAACAACCTTTTTCAGAATGAAAACTATGCTTGCATGACCAGAATTAAAAAAATTGAAATGTAGCATTGGTCTTGATAAGAGTTTCCAAAATGTAAATGCTTAAAAAGTCCCATGAAAAAAAGATTACAGAAGTGTAGGCCATTCTTGATTAGAACTGGTGTTATTAAGAACTAATAAGAGGGGTGCAATTTTAGATGCATTCATGCCAAATCTTATTCTAATTGTTTAATGAATTAATTTTTCATATTTTTAAAGGAATTTTTTAAAGTACTATTTTCCGTTGGTTAATAGCAGTAAATAAATAAATAAGAGTTAAACTATACACCATCCTAAAGGGCATTACCATATTATATCTTTTTCAATTATTAAACATTATGCAATGTTATAGATTACTTAAATGCGGATCAAACTATTGTTGATTCAGATTAATGTGTGCATATATAATTGGGAATCAAACCAAAATAGGACATTAATTCATGTGATTTTGAGACCATGTTGTAATAGAATTTAACTACCATCAAAGACAACGGGAGTATTTAAATTATTGATGTGGTATCAAATATTTTTGCCATCAAAAAACCTTGTGATAAGTTATCATGTGATGTAAATACTTGAAGGTCACACTTGCTTTTTAAGGCTTATTGGTCATGTGAGCAAAACATATGTTGGAGCATCACACAAAACACATGGTTGTTTTGATGAATGCCAGTATAAATCTTAACCCTACTTTTAACTTTTGTAAAAACAACATGCAAATGCTAATATAAATTAAATCATTTACATTGTATACAGACAAAAATAAATTTGAAATCTCTCCTCACAAATACTTACTGTAAAGAAACATACAATGACTCCTAAGATAGCACCCCCTAACACATCACTCCAATGATGCATGTAGTCTGATATCCTAGTCAGGGCTGTGTAGTAGGCCAGGAAAAAAGCCACCAACTGTAAAAATGGTCTAACCAACCAACACTTCCGCCACTTAAATTTTATTTGTAAATACACCTAAAATAAAAACTCTAGTCACTACACTTAATAATATTGAAAGTGGAGAAAGATATGCAAATAAAAAAAATCACTATAGTAAATATAGCACTAGTCCATTATTTTATCTTGACTTTCCAAGATCTTTTGCTCATTAACATGTATCTGGTAATCTTTTCTTCATCAAAATGATGATATTTCCATACTTTTTATTTATCCATCATATTAAACATTTTTGCCTATTTCACTTTAAATCTAATGGAACTCTCATGTCAAAATGTAACAGGTTTTTTTGCCAATCAAGATTTGCAGCACTCTTCACAAATATCTTTATTATGAGTAAAAGTAATTGCTGGTCATGAATTTTGGTAGTTACATTTTGCAAAAGGAGAGGCTGAACTATTGTAGTAAAGCTTTTGGAATTATGATTTGTGATGTCTTTATTCTTCACTGTGTCCTTTACTTATTGTGGCATAAAAGCAAACCAGCTCCTTTTTGTGGTGTCCAATTACTTTCAGTACCCTTCAACTTCATATCATCAGGATGGATATTATGTTATCCGACCCTCTTGTTCAAGACAATATTTTTTTGGGGTCAAACAAGATAAGTGTATATTGTAAGATGTATTTAATTTAGCAGAATAACTTACCACCAGATATAACATACAGAAGAAGGCAAAGGAAGTGTGTCCTGATGGAAAAGATAATCTGTATAATGAAAAAAAAATATAAATGTATGTTCTGTGAAATTTTACACTGGATTTATCATTATATATTCAACTTAAATTTGGTTACTTAGTAACATCTGCTAGCAGACATCTCACTAATGTTTACAAATATCCTATGTCAAAAAAAGTAAAAATACAGCATTTTTGTCAGTGAAAGTGTAGTTTAATCTTTATGCATTTAATTGTGAGGTAATGACTGACAGTCTTTGTATAAGACTCCATCAATACTTTTCCAATATACCCGGTTCTCCTGCAATCGATAAAAATTAGACAATGCATGTAACAAGTAGCAAGAAATACCATTAGAGGCAACTAAACGATCTTGCAACAATATCATTGTAAAACAAATATATGTTACTACGTGCAAGCAATGCACTTTACTTAAGATGCATGAAGCTACCAACTTTTTTAAATCCATAATCTATTGTCAGTTTTCAATTTCCCATCTCATAAATAGTGGTTTGGACTCACTTTGTTGTGATGCCAAAGCCATTACACTTTACACTTGCTTTGATCAATAGTCTTACCTGGCTTCTTGTAAAGCATCTGTATCTGTACTTGTACAATCATGTATTTCAATGTAGCCTGTTTTTGTAGAACAATTTGATAAAATTGCTGGTTTGCATAAAGACAGATAGTGTGGGCGTAGTCTGCCCAAACTATACTTAGCGATATCTGTTGTCAACTGTACGACGGCACAACCAAAAAGAAATGCACTAATCCCTCGATAAAGAGTTTTGATATATGGCTTGTTTTTGAGTGCACTGCTACAGTCTCTTTTAAACACAGATAAATGAATGCCCTCTGTTATAATAATCTGAAAATACAATGTTAATTAATCAATCATAAATACATTTTAAACAGTGGAGGATCCAGTGGGGGGATTTCTGGGTAGTTGGAACCCCCCTTTTTTTTGACAATCAATGCTTTTGAATGGGGACAAGTGTGTATATGGTTGGAACCCCCTTTTAAAAATGTCTGGATCCGCCCCTGACTTAAACATATGAATTCAAATTTGTCTGTGCTGTGTATTTGAGAAAAGGGCAATAGGATGAGATAAAATACAATGTTAATTAATCAATCATGAATACATTTTAAACAGTGGAGGATCCAGTGGGGGGATTTCCGGGTAGTTGGAACCCCCCTTTTTTTTTGCCGATCAATGCTTTTGAATGGGGACAAGTGTGTATATGGTTGGAACCCCCCTTTTAAAAATGTCTTGATCTGCCCCCGACTTAAACATATGAATTCAAATTTGTCTGTGCTGTGTATTTGAGAAAGGGGCAATAGGATGAGATAAAATACTCTTTCTTGCATGCACACTGTTTGTTACTTTTAATTGCGGTAGAGGATTTCATTTGAGTGTCAAGGGATGTGAAATAGATCCGCATCAGTAGCAAACAAAAAACTTTAAGATTATAATTTTTGGAACTACAGACAGAAATTTTTTTTAAAATTGAAAAAGAGCTTCTTTCTATCAATCCCAACAATTATATAAAGTTTTGAGGAAATCAATCTAGGAATACTAGAGTTTGTGCACAATATGTGAAAAATTGCCTTAAATGTAACGGATAAAATCCTGTAACTCTTGAACAACAAAGATAAAAAATTTTAAATCAAAGGGAGCTTTATTCTGTCAATCCTAATTTTGTGTTAAAATTGGTTATAGCAAATAAGACTAATTGTACGAAGTGTTGACAGGCAAATGGTTATAGCAAATTAGACTTATTATACGAAGTGTTGACAGGCAAATGGTATAGCAAATTAGACTTATTGTACAAAGTGTTGACAGGCAAATGTTATAGCAAATTAGACTTATTGTACGAAGTGTTGACAGGCAAATGGTATCGCAAATTAGACTTATTGTATAAAGTGTTGACAGGCAAATGGTATAGCAAATTAGACTTATTGTATAAAGTGTTGACAGGCAAATGTTATAGCAAATTAGACTTATTGTACAAAGTGTTGACAGGCAAATGTTATAGCAAATTAGACTTATTGTACGAAGTGTTGACAGGCAAATGGTATAGCAAATTAGTCTTATTGTACGAAGTGTTGACAGGCAAATGGTATAGCAAATTAGTCTTATTTTACGAAGTGTCGACAGGCAAATGGTATAGCAAATTAGACTTATTGTACAAAGTGTCAACAGGCAAATGGTATAGCAAATTAGTCTTATTTTACGAAGTGTCGACAGGCAAATGGTATAGCAAATTAGTCTTATTGTACAAAGTGTTGACAGGCAAATGGTATAGCAAATTAGTCTTATTTTACGAAGTGTCGTCAGGCAAATGGTATAGCAAATTAGACTTATTGTACAAAGTGTTGACAGGCAAATGGTATAGCAAATTAGTCTTATTGTACAAAGTGTTGACAGGCAAATGGTATAGCAAATAAGTCTTATTGTACGATGTGTGTGTTGACAGGCAAATGGTATAGCAAATTAGACTTATTGTACAAAGTGTTGACAGGCAAATGGTTTAGCAAATTAGTCTTATTGTACAAAGTGTTGACAGGCAAATGGTATAGCAAATAAGTCTTATTGTACGATGTGTGTGTTGACAGGCAAATGGTATAGCAAATTAGACTTATTGTACAAAGTGTTGACAGGCAAATGGTATGCTTAGCAGGATTCAAATACATATCACCCTGCATTGTGCGCAAGAACTGCACTTATAATTTGTGCCAATATTTACTGTAAATATGGAAGCAGTGATAAACTCATCACCTATTTAAATACTATTGTAGATTTAGAAATGTTTGCCATGCTTTTCTTTCAATAAAAATCTAACAGGATTAATGTCACATTAAACTGCTCTTAATTTTAAATTCTTCCTGAATTGTGTGTATGCAGAGCTCATTTCCTAGAATTGATTGCCTTTATAATTCTCCAATTTTTGTCAATTGATCAGTGATCATTATAAAAGGTTAATTCCTTTTAATCCACAATAATTTCTGAATTCATAGTACATGCTTTTATTAGTACATGATAGTCACTGAATTATTGATCATTCAAATAAATACATACTTGCACTTTTCATACAAACAATATGTAACAGTAGTACAATACTTACTGTTACGATTGGCACAGACATCCCTATAAAACACACCACCCATGTTGGTACGGTATCAGGTTTGTGTGGGTGCATGAGACTTTCATCATCACAATAGAATCCTCGCCGAAATGGTGTGGCATGGATCTTTATTATTAAAATAGGAATGGCAACTGAAATATAACGAGGGTGTATATATGTAGTCACTCTTGAACCTACTTCACAATTCAAAACTAATATAATATCATGAAAATGTTTTGGAGAAAGTTTTTTTCAAACTACTATTAGCTCATTTTGCATCCCTCTAAAGGTTTCAATCATACTGTGGATTCCTTTATTATTATTTTTTTTTGTATTAATTCATGTGGATTGAGGAAAACTTACATTTTCATAGATATCTGATTTCATTGTTTTCACAAAGTCTGCATATATTCCTATAGGTTGCACTTCTGTAAATATAGACAATGCAATTTCCCATAGGAACTCCTTTTACGGCAAAAACTGTGCCACTTTTACTATGAAGTTTCATAAAAAATATATCCATTCCTAGAATGGAAAGTTCATATGCACTTCTATGTTTTTCAAAGGTCAAAATATAGGGCTGTGCGGCATATTTTCAACATTTATATGCCTCAAACTTCTAACAGTTTAAACTTATGCTAAAACTCTGTACTAACCCTCCCTTCAATTTGGGTCTTCCTTATAATTCAATTTAGCCGCTATCCAAGTGTATTTACTACTGGTAACATTCCCAAGTTATGTCTCTACGAGATGAAACATAGAGATCATATCCGGGAACCAGTAGGTAAACAAAACAAAATATCTATGAATATTACATGTATATATCTCCCCAAAAGAGGCGTGGTTTGTGAAACAGTTGTGTTTACAAAGTGCAACCTATAGAAAATTAGTAATTCGTTGAAAATCTAAATTTGTGATTCCCCTATACCCATGGTATCCAACAAAAGTAATGAATCCACAGTATGCATGTTGATGTTTATTCAACGTCCAGCTGAATGTTTGAAAGCGAGTAATCTCTGAACAATAATTGTACAGTATAATCAAGGGGAAATTGAGTGAAAAATCACTCTTGCTGGTAGAGTGAATCACTGTAAAACAAGGTAATTAACTGTGATTTTAAGTTAACACTCAATCATAAGATACTTATGGAATTAACAGAACAAAATTGCAGACACAGTGGCAAATTCAGGGAGTGTAAAGGGTGTACACCCCTCTTGGATAGGAAAATATATCATTTTTTGGCATTTTACAGTTTAAAAAAATTGCCTTGCAGCACTTGCCAGTACATTCAACATTTTAAACAATTATGTCCCTTTCCTTTGTCTAATGTGTTAGCCCCTGGATGCCTGGTGAATCACCAACAATCAACAGTATGATAATGCAAAAATCTCCCCCTACATTGAATTTAACCCCCAAATGGCAAAAGGGGTTAGTTTGTTTATACTAAAATATCCATGAAAGTAAGCTGGACCTTATCCATGTGCAAATTAGGCTAACCTTATTTAGTTGGGTTAGTTTCCATCATACATTTCTTCCTAATTTTCCAGAATTCAAAGTTGTTCTTAAGATTCAAATAATTCCTTGTTTAGACTATTTTGATCTTTGGGTTTGTTTGGTTACTGTCTTACTGTTGTGTACCTCATATTTCTTTTCATTCATACAAATTAGAAATCAGCACATAAAATGTATAAAACATGATAAAGATTACATCTTCAACATGATGACTTAACAAATTAATTTTTAAGAAAGTGCAATAAGAAAGTGCAAAACAGTGCATTATAAAGGAGAAATTGGGGAAATATTAGCAAATAAAGCATTCATTAGAACAAACTTTTTGGTTTATCATAGAATATTAATGTTAGTGGTCTTGAAAATCAGTAATTAATCAATTGTCCCTGTTCAGCTTTAACAGTTTCAATATTTTGAGAAGACCCTGTGAAAGAAAATGTTTAAAAGGTGATTTTTTTTATATCTTATCCTGATAAACATGAAAAAACATTTCATTCAATTAATGTCTTTTTTTCATTCTTTAACCTGTTTGTTCTAAATCTATGGCAACAAAATCTTCCTTGTGCAAACTCTGCAGTCAATGCCACTGCTAAAGTTTAACCCTTATCAATATATTTTCTATAAATAAAATTCAATTCAGTTTTTGATGGGTGATTTCCTGTACAGTATTTTTTAATTCTTTTTTACATTATAAGTGATTTAACATCAGTTTCCTTCCCCGTTTCCCCAAAAAGGATGTAGGTCAGACCACAATGTTAACCATGATGGATTACCTGTCACTTTACTGATTGATGACATGACAACTTAACACTTATATGGTCATTAATAGTCATGCATGAACGATTCTACTTACTATTTGAATCAATTTTCTTGTAAACAAGGTGTAAATTATAGAATTTATTTCTTATCAATGAAAATTTTATCTTTACATGTACAGATTCAATTAACTGCGCAATTACCGTGTTGATCTATAGCAATGCCTTGAGGCATTTAAAATAATAGCAAGAGTAGGACTCCATATGGCACTCCCACAATACTAAAGGAACAAAATAACTTTTGCCATATGGAACTCTTTCCAACATAACATTGATTGCATAAAACATAATTTGGTGTTTGTTTCATTTCATTTGTAATTCAATGCACCAGTCTGCACCAAAATCTTTTCCAGCTAATAGTCTGAAGACCAATATTCCAACAATTTTCTTATGTGTTTGAACAAATATTTGCAAAAACTTACTAGTCCGATTACAATTTTACTAGTCTGGTTCATCGGACTAGTGACTAATGGTGCAGACTGATGCAAACCATGCACATTTTTATGAGATTCTCAGGGTGGATACAGGGGGGTTACAAAATTTGCCTTCCCCTTTATGACAATTTTTTTTGTATGTTGGTGGTACTTTTTTTCAGATTTTTTATATTATTGTCGGTCCCCCTTTTGGCCAAATGCTTGGCCCCTTCAACACTGATTCTGGTTATAATTGTATCATGTACAGAATAAGATAGATACATGTAACCAGTCTTATATTCTATGATTTTATAAAATATTCAACAAAATCAAAAGTTAATTACTATACTCAGTCAACCTGTTCTTTTCTATGTTTGTATTAAAGAGTGTCATGTTTAATGGTGTGTTCTCTTTGTATCTTCTTTGAGACATGTTCTGTACCATGTGTTGTTCATTGTTAGTACATGCCTTTTGCAGAGGAATTGGGTGTTAGTGTAGTCTATTGCATTGTCAATATTTTTGGTATAAATTCAAGTTAACCTTTTTATATATTATGTGAACGTAGATAGACCATGTAGACCTGAAAAATTGATAACTTGAACCTGTATTCAATTTGAACTTGGTGTACTTATTATGAAATTCAATTTGCACAAAAGAAGAACATAATAAACTCTTGATACTCTTGAAACTCTTGATACATTTGGTTTCATTAATCATATCTAAATTTTCATTTTTGCACAATACATTGTAGTACAAAATACAAATCTGTATGAAATAGATTTTCAAATCACTGTAGTAATTACACATATAAATGAACAAATTTAAACAATTATGGCTATATCTGTACATGTATAATATGGTATGATAAATTCTTGATACTCCTATTGATTTAATACCATAAAATCTAGTCAAATATATACCATTCAAAAATTAAACCACTTATTTGATGCAATCATTTTACGAAATACCTGGTTTAATTCTGATTAGTCATGATATTGTTCAGTTCTAAATCAAATTTAAACGATAGGTAAAAAAAAATCTGATTTTACATTCAGTAATTACTCCTTGTACAACATATAAATTAGGGTAAACAAATAATTTAGTCAACGTATATATACTCCTTGTACATTGTTTATCATTTAATAAACTACATGTATTTGTTAGAGAACAGGAAAATAATGTTTACTACACACAGACCATAAAATAGATTAAAGGGAATGAATTTAAATGCAATGTACATGTAATAAAAAATTGTTCATTTTTAAAACATGTCAAATTTAAAACTCAAGATAATGATGACATATGTAGATATACATTTAAGTGGTAATGATCTGAAAATTTATTTGTATAGACTGAAAACAGAAGAGTCATTTTTCTTTCATCCTCTATATATATACATGATTTGTATAGTTCTTATTTTAGAATTCCCCAATAGAATGGCATAAATTTAAAAGAACAGTCTGACCCATATTTTTATTTCAAATAACATTAAATTTCTTAAATATATATATTTTCAATATTTTTCCAGGAAGTATAAGCTAAATCAATATTAAATGTCAGGAAGGTGTCCTCAATATTAAAGGAATTTTTCCCTGAAATTAATGCAGACCATAAGTTTCTTTGAAAATTAGAACTGATCTGTGTGATCAATACTGTCATTTCATTAAAATTTTCAATTGAAGCATGTACACAGATATGTAGAATACATGAATCTTTGATAGATTGTTTGACTTCTCTTTTAAAGGCGAATCTGTCACGTTACCCTAGTCCAAATAATTATGACTTCTTGAAAGGCTATTTTTCTTTAAAGCCTTCCTAGTCCTATGTTCAATGAAGGAGGCATCATAGAAAAAAAATTCAAAATAGCCTTTCAAGACTTCATAATTATTTGGACTAATGTTACCCTAGATCATCAAACACAGGGCTCTGACAATACTGTGTATAAAAGCCTAAATAGGATTCTACACATACATGTATATACCAATACATACAATGTAATGAAAAGGGGGACGGGGGTAAAATCTGAACATAAAACCACAGTAACTTGAATTGCTATCCATAAATGATTAAAAAAAATTAAAAAGTATACCATATATATGATATTTTTTCAATCATTTATGGATAGAAATTCAAGTGACTTTGAAAAAAACTGCTATAAATATAAACATGCATGTACATAAATATCTAATCTTCTAATTTATGCTTTTACAACAGTGTAGTCTTTAATGTGCTTTTTGTCATCTCCTATGTGTTGATATCTTACTTGTATTTCCTTTATTGTTTATTGTATCATTGGAAATTTTTTGTTCCAAATTTGTATCTGACATTGGAATTTTTCCCCAAACGAATATACATGTAGCAATAGCCAATACATGCATTTCAACCGTTAAACGAGATATTTTTTCAATTTTTTAAATTTCAAAATAACATTTTATTGATTATATTTTATCAAGTGATGATTTAAATAGCACTTATTAATTTGAAATTCAATAAATTTTCTATAATCTATTAAATACAGTTGCAAGACCTTCAACAACTTCTCAGACTTTCCAATGCGACCGGTCTCGACCTATTAATTTCACAGACGTAGCGGTACAAATACCTACCGATAAAAAGACAAATGAAATCGATGAAACACCGTACAATAACAGACTGTTTTCCCATATTGTTATTATTACTATCCTTGTTAAACAAGAAATAAAACCTGCCAACTTGTCACAACATTTTGGTTGACACCTGGTGAGGGGAGACAACTCTAGCGGAATGGTGTTTAATATCTGGAACGGAACAGTTGTTCCGGTTGAACTGCAGTAATTTGCCATTCATTAAAAGTGTAATTAAGTTTGGAGACGCGTTGTTTTTGTATAAAAGATTGATTCAAATATCAATTGTGCCAAATCAAATGGTTTAGATTCTTATAATAATAATCATAGTGACAAATCATTCTTTATTTACTTACACTTTCGGAGCACCTGAGATATCCAACCAGTTTTTGGTGGGGTTCGTCAGAGACATATAATTTATATGTCTCTGGGTTCGTGTTGCTCAGTCTTTGACTGTTGTTTGCCTTTTTTCTTTTTTTACCATGGCTTTGTCAGTTTGTCTTTGACTTATGAGTTTGAATATTCCTTTATTTTCTTCGTCCTCTCTTTTTATAGAGGGTTAACAGTTAGTTACTTATCTTGTTTGATGACCCCCACCCCCACCCCCCAATAGCAATCTAATACTTTGAAATTTAAAAATAGTAAGAGGGAAAAAATGCGCAATTTTCAGAAAAATATAGAAATTATTTAAATATGCAATAAAATCCATTTTAAAATAATTAAAACCTTTCAGAGTTGTCTCCACTTATAAATATGAATTAATCTACCTTTAATTATTTTTTTATTAACTTGCTGCTCACAAGGAAGCTATTAAACCAAGATTCCCAAGTGGTGAAGTTGAAATCCTCCCTTTGTAAATTTTACGGACACCATCACGAGTTGGTTGGCCGTTATCACTGGTTATGGGATCTCTGTTTTACAGATGACGACGAATATGTTCTAGTTGTAGTAATTACAATCGTCCCCTTCCCCCGAATGTGACCTACCGTGTATTAGACATATCACCGGGTTTGTACTAACATGAGCAACACGACGGTCAGAAAGGGCAAAGGTAGAATCTGGAGTTCCACAAGGGTCAGTCCTAGGCCCTATAGTCTATTTTTGTTTTACATAAATGACCTAGCGAATGACCTAAAATCAACAGTTCGTCTCTTTGCGGATGACACAGTAGTCTACCTAACCATCGCCCCAGATACTGATTGCCGACACCTACAGTCAGACCTAGATAAACTGGCACTATGGGAGGAAAAGTGGAAGATGGAGTTTCACCCAGAAAAGTGTAGCGTGCTGACTGTCTCCAGAAAGAAAAAGCCGATCAAATGTGACTATATATTACATGACCATGTACAAATGTACTAAAACATGAAACGTCAATTAAATACCTGGGCTGCACCATCACAAGCAAAATAGACTGGGGAGAACATTACAACATTACCAGCAAAGCCAGCAGAAGCCTTGGTTTCCTCCACCGAAACTTACACATCGGCTCTAAAAGCATCAAAGAGCAAGCATACAAAACTCTAGTAAGGCCCCAACTAGAATACGCCACATCAGTATGGGACCCATATCATCAAAAACATATTGACCAAATTGAAAAAGTTCAAAGGAGGGCTGCGCGATACGTCACCAAGCGCCACAGAAACAGATCAAGTGTCACGGACATGATTAACGAATTGGGTTGGAAAAGCCTCCAAGAACGACGCAGAGAGGCCAGGCTCGCAATCATGTATGAGATCGTCAACGACAAAGTAGCCATCAACAAAGACATGTACCTCCAAAAACCAACTAGAATATCCAGACACGCACAACAGCATGGATACATGGTACAAACAGCAACCAAAGACTGCAGGAAATGGTCCTTCTTTGTGAACACCACCAAAGACTGGAACAAGCTTCCCCCGGAGATCGCCACAGCACAGTCATTTGAGACATTCAAATCTCAAATAACCAACCTTACAAAATAAAGAGGAACATTTGCTTTTATCCTGTTTTTAAACATGCGGAACCAAATTTGCCAGTATATTCAGAAAGTTGAATGTGGACAGTATATGGAAGAAGAAGAAGAAGAAGAAGAAGACGGGTGCCACATGTGGAGCAGGATCTGCTTACCCTTCCGGAGCACCTGAGATCACCCCCAGTTTTTGATGGGGTTCGTGTTGCTCAGTCTTTGGTTTTCTATGTTGTTTTGTGTACTGTTGTTTGTCTGTTTGTCTTTTTCTTTTTTAGCCATGGCGTTTTCAGTTTATTTTCAACTTATAAGTTTGAATGTCCTTTAGGTATCCTTCGCCTCTCTTTCAGTACATTCAATTTTGATTAATCAGGGTTTTCTGAATTTGTTAAAAACTAAAAATAAATATGTCTTCATTTTAATGAATATTTATGCAAGAAGGGCATCAGAGGCGGATTTATGGGGGGGGGGGGGGGAGGGGGCAGGGGGCCCGGGCCCCCCTTTTGTGGGAAAAATTTGGTTGATTATATAGGGAATCACTGAAGCATGACTGGAGCGGGCCCCCTCTTAGGCAGTCAGTGGGCCCCCACTTATGAAAATTTCTGGATCCGCCACTGGGCATATTGTTTTTATTGGTATTAATATTGATTTTGTTATCAGTAAATTAAAATCAAACAAAATATTATTGTTATATACATATATGCACATTCATGGCTCTACAATCTGTCGATACCTGTATTTGGCATTGCACAAGGTCATGTTTTTCTCTGACTGTTTATGACGTCTTTACACTAAATCCGTTGGATGTTGGATGTGTACTGATTGATAATTTAGTCTTAGATGCATGATTTTTTTTATTAGTTGTTATAGGCTTTGAACTAGCTGTCAGTAACTGCGAGTACTCTCAGATCTGTGCTAAGTGTCTTTTTGTTGTTGGGATGTACAAGTACCCGTCCACGTCCACTTTGTGTTTTTGTTGGATGTATTTCTATTTGTATCCATCTGATGAGTTAAGCCTTTTTCAACTGATTTTTATAGTTTGTTCTTATGGTGTACTGTTACACCACTGTCCCAGGTTAGGGGGAGGGTTGGCGCCTTCAAACTAGGTTAACCCCGCCACCGTGATTCTGTATGTGCCTGTCTCAAGTCAGGAACCTGTAATTCAGTGGTTGTCGTTTGTTGCTGTGTTTCATATTTGTTTTTCATTCATTATTTTGTACATAAATTAGGCCGTTAGTTTTCTCGTTTGAATTGTTTTACATTTGTCATTTCGGGGCCTTTTATAGCTGACTATGCGGTATGGGCTTTGCTCATTGTTGAAGGCCGTACGGTGACCTATAGTTGTTAATTTCTGTGTCATTTGGTCTATTGTGGAGAGTTGTTTCTTTGGCAATCATACCACATCTTCTTTTTATATATCTGTAACATCCGTTTGCAATCTATAAGATAGTTATCATGGCAGTTCCAACAATAGATTGAAAGTATTATTTCCACAAACTTTCGATTGAACTTTTCTGCAGATTTTTTTTTTTTAATTTAATTTAAATCCTTTCGGCCAGGTTAACCAAACAAACATTTTTAGCAGTTTATTGTACATATGTTGCTCCAATGTCAGTATGTTTATAATCAGTTCTTGAGTTTCTTTTTGCAGAAGCAAATATTTTGGCACAATCTATAGCTAGTGTGTATCATTAAATCTTCAAAGCATTTTTACAGGGAAAAAAATCACTATATATAACGTTATATAATGTTTTTTGTTTAATTTTAAGTACCACCTTAAAATCATGCAAAAGGAAATTCATTATTTGGTGAAAAGCCTACAAATAATTTGTCCAGAATGCAAAGTTGTACCAAAAGCTACTTTTAATTTGTACCTGAACCTGTGTTCATGAGAAAAGTAAATTTTTGGAATTTTGAAAAGTGAGATCACTCAATTAATAGTTTATCTTTAAGCACAATTTTCTTCCACTTACTGACAGTATGAGAAGAACCATGCATAACCCAGTTCATAATGTGTATCAAACATTTAGTCAAGAAAGACAATTGAAAAATTGTAGGTTTCATCCATGTGAATCTCTTTTTTTTAATATTACTTGTTTTATTTTAATATGGACTGATACTGAACTAATTATGCAAAATGTATCTGTTTTAGTCATAAAAAATAACCTTCTCTTCTTCACATACAAGCTCTAGACCTTGCTTGTGATGGGAACAAAACTTGATACTGTGGTTTCATTATTTTCTTGGGTACTAGTTTTCGTAGATTGAGGAAAATATGTATTTTTGAGGTTATTTGATTTCATGGATTTGCCGAAGTCTGTGCAGGTGACATCCTGTTTGTCCGACAACCATTATTCCGACATTCCATTATTCCGACAGTCCATTACTCCGACATCCCATTACTCCGACATCCCATTATTCCGACAGCTCATTATTTCGACACTGCATCTGTCATAAGTGTACGGGTAAATTTTCTCCAAAAGACCAAATCCGTTCTCGATAATATTTGTGGTTGTCCGTTTAGATTCCAATTATTCTTCTCATGCGGGATATTTGTCTCCGTGCCTTGGAGTTGATAATCATGCTTATTGCAACTGCTGAGTCATTATCCTCGTTTCCCCCTTTCCGTTTTACGGGTCCGGGTATTTTATTTGTCTTTATATTTCGACGTTTGTGTGTCCATTGTCCTCTTGACTCTCGGTTTCCCCCTTTCGTATCAAGGGAGTGAAGTTTCACCACTATTAACTACATAAATAAATATATTAGAGTTGGATAACTCTACCATCCCTCTTCGGTCGTAACACTTGCAACTCCGTGTATCACTCAACTAAGTTTTATTTAAATTTGTTGCAGAAAATTGCGACAAATGAAGCGTCAGTTAAAAATAAGGAAAATCACGAGACAAATACAAACCCAGGACCCAGAAGAAGTAGATGACAAATAGGACGAACTAAGTGTTCCTAAAAGATGAGCTACAACTGCTCCTACCAGACACCCACTGTGCGTTTGATGAATGTCATGCTCAGGAACATGAATCCACGAAATACATAGACAGTACACGGCATTTCCCATAACGGTCGTTCAGACATAGAGATGACACTCAATATATATGTAGGGGTATATCCCGAGCTTATCTTAAAATCAAAAGCTAGAAAAAAAACATTCCACTTTAATAATGCAGTTGGGGTGGGGAGGAA